GAAAACTCCCTCCCCCTGCACGACACGGAAAACACAGGCCATCAGCACGACGCGGGTTAACCCGCGCCCCGCTGGGGGGGGGGGGGGGTTATGATTCCAAATATCAAAATATCCGATTCCATGACAAAATATCGAAACGCAAAATATCGAATCGCAAAATATCGAACGAAAATTATCGAAAGCAAAATATCGAAGTCGCAAAATATCGAAACCGCAAAATATCAAAATCGCAAAATATCGAGTCGCATAATATCGAAATCGCAAAATATCGAAATAGCAAAATATCGAATAGCAAAATATCGAAATAGCAAAATATCGACTCGCATAATATCGAAGTTGCAAAATATCGAAATGGCAAAATATCGAAAGACAAAATATCGAAAAGACAAAATATCGAACGCCAAATATCGAAAAGACAAAATATCGAAAGCAAAATATCGAAAAGACAAAATATCGAATGCAAAATATCGACAAGACAAAATATCGAAAAGACAAAATATCGAAAGCAGAATATCGAAAAGGCAAAATATCGAATGCATAATATCGAAAAGACAAAATATCGACAGCAGAATATCGAAAAGACAAAATATCGAAAGCATGATATCGAAAGGAAAAAGTATCGAATGCTGAATATCGAACAGACAAAATATCGATAAAGCGAAATATCAAAAATTTGAAGGCATAGACGGCACCAGGGTGGGATAATTAACGTGGCACTAAAACTTGACTGAATCAGTGACAACTAAACCAGTCACAGTTGAACCGATGACAATTTAACCAGTGAACAGCTGAACCAGGGGACAGCTGAACCAGTGGACAGTTGAACCAGTGGACAACTGAACCATTAGTTGATGTAACCCTTCCCCTTATTGGCGGTTCAATAGAAGGAAACAGTTACATTTGATCTAAAATAATTATCAAACCTAATCAAACCTAACCAAACCTAACCCAACCTAACCAAGCCTAACCCAACCTAACCTAACCCATCCCAACCCAACCAAACCTAACCTAACCCAACCTAACCCAACCCAATATAACCTAACCTAACCTAATCTAATCTAACCTAACCTAACCCAGCCCAACCTAACCCAGCCCAACACAGCCTGAAATGGTTTTTGGCATTTCAAAGCAAGAAGTGTCAGAAATGTTAATGCATCAGCGATTCTTTTCAATATTCTGCTTTCGATATTTTGTCTTTTCGATATTCTCCTAACCGATAATTTGTCTTTTCGATATTCTGCGTTCGATATTTTGTCTTTTCGATATTCTGCTTTCGATAATTTCTCTTTTCGATATTCTGCTTTCGATATTTTGTCTTTTCGATATTCTGCATTCGATATTTTGTCTTTTCGATATTTTGTCTTTCGATATTTTGCCTTTTCGATATTTTGTCTTTCGATATTTTGTCTTTCGATATCCTGTCTTTTCGATATTTTGTCTTTCGATATTTTATCTTTCGATATTTTGCAGCTTCGATATTATGCTATTCGATATTTTGCGATTTCAATATTTTGCGACTCGATATTTTGCCATTTCGATATTCTGCTTTTCGATATTTCGCAACTTCGATATTTTTCCATTTCGATATTTTGCTTTCGATATTTTGTCACTTCGATATTTTACCTTCGATATTTTGCGATTCGATATTTTGCATTTCAATATTTTGTCCGGAACCCGCAGAATCTGCCCCCCTCCCGTTTTTCGCTAATAACTTCTAAACGCGTTACGCCAGCGACGTGAAACTTTCAGCACCTTATCATACATCAATATGACACGTTCCCTGAAAATTTGAGCGAAATCCGTCGATTTTTTTGAGAAATTGACGTTTTAGTGACGTCATGTTCGCCATTTTCGCCTCAAAAACGGCAAAATTTCAAACGCCGCTAAAATTTTCATTTTTAAAGGAATCAAGACGTAACAAAAAATGTTATACGTGATTCTACTTTGTCTATGAAATGGCTATCTCAGTTTTTTTGAAAATTTTGGATTTTGGCTCAATTTTTTTTCAAAAAACTGATTTTTTTTAGGAAAATAATTAAAAAATCCAAAATTTTAAGAATATAAAAAACGGAATTAATGTCAGAGAAGTTGTCTATGTGCACCTACATACCAATTTTTAGAAGAATCTGTTCAAAAATGTAGGAGTTATTCAAAATTTTATGACGTCACGACACAAAAAAAAATTGATAAATGATTTTTTTTTTTGGAAGTTCTAGACCTTGTACGGAAACAAAAATCGCACCATTCGATTCGCCGTGAAAAACTGCATCAGATAGACACCTTTTTAGGCCTTAACAACCAACTTCAAAATTTGACCTCACTTGACCTGACCTTGACCTGACCTCGACCCCCAGTTCATCCAGAGGTGGTCCATATCACTTATTGAGTGTGCCTATTGAATTCTATGAGTAAAATGACCCATAAAACATGTGTCGCACATGCCCTTTTCTATATTTTGTTTTTGGTGACCTGACCTGATCTGACCTGACCTTGACCTTGACCTTTGAATGACATTGTATGCAACGATTATTGTCTTGGTAGTCTAAGAACACGTTTTGGGCAATCAGTCTCAGTCCATTCTTCGGCAACTACAGTGCAAGGCCGATACTGTAGAAACTTGCATATTGTACCCTTGACCTGACCTTGACCTGACCTCTGACCTACTTGAGCAAAACAATTTGGGCTCTTTAGATCCGCCTTGTTGAGAGCTTTCGATTGCCGTTTTCCCCGTCTTTCTACGACCGTCGGTTCGGAAGTTAGACAGGGGGGCAGAATCTGCCCCCCCCCCCCCCAGCAGGGCGCGTATGGCTGAATAGCCCAGCGGGACGCGGGTTAAAACAGCGGTTGCTACTCTAAAAAAAACGACATATTAGCCGTTGCCCGTTTTCACGACGGCCATCTGGTACACATTTGGTGCACGTCTGGTACAGATTAGGTGCAGATCTGGTCAAATCAGGTTCAGTGTGCCTCATAGCAGCTATCAGCTAGGGTTGCACTAATTGCTCATAACCGAAGGTTTGTTGTCAATAGTTAAAACACTATTCTTTAGAATTGTGTTTTTCTATTGAAAAACAAATCTGAGTTCCCTGACAATTTGGCAAAAGCTGCCTGAGATCAGTACAACTTGATGCTCGAGAAAACGGCTGTTCCAAAAATTCTGATTTTTTCAGGATTTCTAGTGGGCCAGGTGATCTACGTTCTGGTATGGGTCTCCCCTCCGCGGACAAGCTGGTGCACGTGCCACGTGACTTTGAAAATTTCCGTGTTAAGCCAATGGGGAAAATGAAAAAATGCGTTCCACGGCAGATTGCTCGAAAACGATCCAAACGACCCCCATTTTCTTCCATGCGGATCAACCACCATTCGGTGCATTACCCATGGGTATGTCGCAAAGTGGCCGGAAAAGTCCAGAACCACGTGCCACGTGCCGTTGAAAATGACCCTGCACACCGGACATTTGGACTTTTGGTCATTTCGGCACACCCGCGACGCAGACTATGGTGTGGGTGACCAAACAATGGGTGCCATCTGGTCGGCAACTGTTTAAGGTGTCGTCCAGTGGGTCAAAGTGGTAGTTTCAAACTTTTGGGATCCACCATTCTGGGGATTCTTTTTGACAATATGCTTACGTTTCTTGGCACAATGTTCATTCCACCCAGCCGGTCGTCAATGCGTTAGGTGACCCAAATTACGATTGACCTGAAGGAAGTTGGGGGCGCGGAACACGCACGTGCCATCCGTTTTTTAATTGGGTGCTTTCATCTAGGAGATTTTTGCAGATATCTGTTTGATTTGTGAAAATAACCAAAAAGCTGAATCTCTGGAATCCTATCGGTATGCCAGTCGTTGATAGATTATTATCTTGCTACGGCCGGGCGCTTATTTGCGGTGCTTGCGTGTGGCGGCTGGCAGGCGACTTTTAGTCGTTTTCGGCTAGCAGTTAGCGTCGGTGCGGTGCGGGCGGTTTTATTTTTTCTGCGTTTCGGCGTTTTTTCGTGTGGTTTGCGGCGGTCGGGCGATTTTTTTCGACGTTTGCGCTGGCGTTTCGGGCGTGCGTTTTGCACGTTTTGCGGTGTTAACGTTTTGCGGCGGGGCGGACGTTTTGTGTTTTTTTTGCGGTGTTTGTCTTTGGCGGCGGGCGGGCGGGCGGGCGGTTTTCTTTTTTTGCGTCGTTTGCGGTGTTAAATTTGCTTGCGGTTGGCGGCCGCTTTTTCATTTTTTTGCGGTGTTTGCTTTTGGCGGCGGGCGGGCGATTTTTAGGCGGTTTCGGTTGGCGGTTAGCGGGCGTGCGATGCGGGCGGTTTTATTTTTTTGCGGCGTTTGCGGTGTTAAATTTGTTTGCGGTTGGCGACCGCTTTTTCGTTTTTTTTGCGTTGTTTGCTTTTGGCGGCGGGCGGGCGTTTTTAGGCGTTTTCGGTTGGCGGTTAGCGGGCGTGCTATGCGGGTGGTTTTATTGTTTTGCGGCGTTTTTGCGTTTTTTTTTATTTGCGGTTTGCGGCGGGCGGGCGTTTGTTTATTTTTTGCGACGTTTGCGTTGGCGTTTCGGGCGTGCGTTTTGCGCGTTTTGCGGTGTTTGCGTTTTGCGGCGGGCGGGCGTTTTTCACAATTCAAAGTCCAAACCTTCGGGCCACAGCGCTCCTCGAAAAGCGCTGCCCTCGAGTATGCCTGCTTTGTCATATTATCAGAAAGCATCATCGATTAAAACACTGAAATAAATTCATAAAATGAAGATATTTGCTGTAAAAGAAATTAGGTGCAGATTTGGTCAAATCAGGTGCATTCGCCGGATAGCCCGTCGTGAAAACGGCTTGACTTTACAATGCCCCTGCTAGGTCAAAGTTGCAATATAGTTAGATACCAATCGTAAAAACATATTTCAATAAACATAAACGAGATGTGATTATCAAGGTGTAAAAAAGAAAAGGCAGAATTAGATAAATAGTTACACAATGGGGAGGCAATGGCATTCAGGGCCATTGTTAGCTGTTCGTTTCGCTCACCTACAAGACGTGTCATGGTCTCGTAGCTCCCACTGCTCTCGATATAGTCGATATAGTAGTGGCTGAGATGGTTGGGTGTCGGCGTGTGGCGGCAGCTCCCTGGCGCCTGCAGCTACTCCGGTACGACTGATATGCGGCGCCTGGGGCCAAACACTCGCCGAGACGTCATCTGAAACGTCATGGGGCAACAGGGTCCCGGGCAGCCTCATCTGTCAGGGCCACTGATGAGTTTCCATCGCGCAACTTCCCCTGACCCCCCCCCCCCCATCCGTCATCACTGCGCAGCGCCCCAGTAAACAGCCGCGCATCAGTGGTCTGCGCAGCGCTGTGTGCCGAGCTGTCTCAGGCGGTGTCGTTTGAGCCAGTGACGTCAGCCAGATAACCAGCGACGTCATCACATGGTAATTTGGGTGCTACTGGATACGACACGGCCGGAGGTGGCGATCGGGGGATGGGCCGCCGAATGGTGGGGGTCTGGTGCGCCGCTGGATCTGTTTCGCCAAACATTTCACCAAATGATGCCAGATGGCACCTTGCTAACTGATTATACGATCTTGCACGGGTTGCAGCTCAGAGGATTTGTTTATGAATTGAAACATTGTAAACACGCTCTTAATGACATGCTAGGCAAATTAAATGAATTTTCAAATAAAAAATGACTGTTTACTTGCGTCACATACACCAGAAGTGTGGAAAAAACGCGTTAATCATCAACTTGATGATTACCGTAAACGACGTCAAAAATTGTAAACGTAAACGTTTATCATAGCATATCATAATAATAAAATACGTTGCTTGAGCCGGCAAATCTCAGCCGCGGATATACGATGCATGTAGAAAGATTGGAATGTCCAATAGCCATAGTGGCAGTGCCTGTTGCTGAACCCGGAGGCAGTTTGTTCAGCTGACCCGCCGACCCAGCTGACCCGCCGACCCAGCCGTCACGTGACCCATTCGCGGTAGACAGTGCCAGTCTCGCTATGTAGACAATGTGTAGTTTCTATGGCCTTGGACAGTGCCGTTCATCAGCGTTTGTTGCCGTGATCGTTGATATCCGTATTTGTTGAAGGCCGTGTGCGAGTGCTTGTGTGACCTCAGCGATTGAGTCGTTTCATATATGGAACGACTGACTGACATATATGAAACGTGACGGGTCGTATACGACCCGTCACGTCTCACGTGACTTCAGTTCGATTATTTGTTTAGTTGTTTGTGTTTGATGAATATTTGCCTTGCTCTCGTGACTATTTATGACATTTGTCACGCCATCACTAAGCAGCGCCATCCTTGATGCAGAGGCCCATTCATCCAGTTGACCTTGAATTGCACTGCATGGTGATTGGAACATTAATTGGTCTGTGGTTGCATGACCTCATCATTCCTTAGGATAAACCGGAAGTTTTACATCATTCCACGGTTCTTACGATGATAGTCTCTGAAATGCATGCAATGTCAATGGATGACATTTAATTAAAATGCTTCTCTACAGCCTACAAGTACATATCTAACATTTTTTATAGCATAGATAGATACTGCTGAATGGCTGTTGAGCCGGCACCGCCTGGGCTATATCCGTACCCACAACCGTCATGGGAGGGGTCGGTCCCGAGCTCTACCCCCCCCCCCGCCCTCTGCTACCTCGAGAACCAACGTTTGATAGCTGTTCATGAGACCTTCCTGCTCCTGAAAGCATTCTTGAGATTTCAAGACCGAACTCACTAAGCCGATGCATAAACTTACGAGAATACCTATGACGTCATCATAACATAGCAATATACCACATACATGCTGGAGGCGGAGCCATTTTTTACCATTCGAAGGCCAAAAAGTATGATGGAAAGCTGAAATGTAGCACATCTTTTCCCGCGACCTGGTGGGGGGAACTATTTTTTGCCCCCCCCCCCAGACTTTTCGATATATCTCCAGAACCGCTGCGTCGATTGTCACCAAACTTTCAGTACCCTCCCGGGCATCACTTTTACACATTGTGACCAAACATTTTTTTCCAAGCCTATGATAGGTTGGCCGCAAATGACGTCAGAGTGACGTCATGTTCTGCCGTTTTCGACCCAAAGAAAGGTTGCGCGGGAAGAGCTGTCAGGCCTATAGCGTTGAAGATACAGATATACGTTTAAACGTAAAAGGTGTAGAATTACCAGGGCTACAAAATGGCTATCTCGAAATTTTGATTTTAATGAATTTTGACCCCCCCAAAATTTTTTTTAAATATAATTGCCAAAATTTCAAAACGTTTTTCGACTTTCGTAAAAACCGGAATATATGTGATAGCCCTTACCGATTTCTATTCACATAACAAATTTGAGATCGATATCTCTCTTTTTGGCCAAGTTATAGCGAAAAAAAACTGTTCAAAATTGATGACGTCAAATTTTCAAACTCAATTTTAGGCAATTCTAGACCACGTAGCGCAAAACAAAGACCACCATTAGACTCGCCGTGACTAGTTACGTCTAACTAACCAATACCTAATTTATGCAAAAATATCAACTTTGAAATTTGACCTTTTTTGACCTGATATTGACCTGATCTCCACCAGGAAGTGACCTAAACAAGATTCAAGATTCAAGATTCAAGATGTATTCGAAAGAGATCCATTCTACAGATGGCTTTTCACTCGTTCACGTCATTGGTGGAACACAATAATGGTGGAAAGCATACATTCATTCGCACGCTCAAAGTCACACACACACGGACAAACCTAACCATTCGACATCTGCAGTGCTGACAGCTGGCGCCTGACTGTTGAACGAAAACCGAGGGTACCGGGTTCTACTTCCACACCGTTGAGCATGGTTACACCGCGGTAACACAGTCTCCTTCTGCCGGCTTCGGTTCGTATCGCTGGGAGAGTATACAGGTTAGCATGTCTCGTCTCGTGATCAAGCCGCTGCCTGGCCTTGGCTCCTATGGTGCTAAATACGCTTTCGGGCTGACCGGTAACCAAAATGCGTTCCAGTGCACACGCCGTGTGATAGGCGACCAAGTGATCTGCATCTAGCCAACGGAGCTGCTCTAGGGAGCCCGATACATGTTCGTAGCGCCGCTTACCAGTGACCACGCGCACACAGAAGTTAATGGTCTTTTGAACACGGCGAAGCTGGGTGTGCCACATGAACCGTAAACTGACAGGCAGTACCGCACTATGGACAATGCAAGAGCTCCGACAATGCTCTTAAGCGTCTTTGTAGGGAGAACATGGCGCGCATGCGACAAGGCTATTAGTATGCCCGTACATTTTCTCACGGTATTGTCCACGTGCGCCTCAAAGTTCAAGTGCCGGTCGAGATAAACACCAAGGTTCTTTACCACTCCGGAATCGGCGATGACAGTGCCGCAGAAACGGAGTGTCACAAGCGGCAGAGTGCGGAGCATCGCGGGCGTTCCAAGTACAAGCATCTGCGTCTTTTTGGCGTTCAGCTTCATGCCGTTATGGCAAAACCATTGATATACTTTGTGCAGGGCGTGTTCCATACTGGTCACCAAGCGATAAATGTCACTCTTCTTTCCGCTTACCAACAACTGCGTGTCGTCAGCATACTGGACGATGGTGACATCATCGGGCACGCAAAGGCTCAAGTCGTTCGCGAACAACATATACAAAATACAGCTGAGCGCTCCACCTTGAAAGACGCCGATGTCATTAAACCTCGATTTCGAAAGCATGTCCCGTCCCTCCGGAGAACGCACACGAACCTGCTGGGTATGATTTGACAAATAACTACGGAACCAGACAGTGTCGATCGCGTAGAGTGAGAGCTTTTCTAGCAATTTGAGGTGAGGCACTACATCAAAGCATTTTGAGAGGTCTAACAAGACAAGAATGGATACTTCACTGTTGTCCATGGCCTGCAAAATTTTGTCCGTTATGACATGGAGCGCTGTTTCTGTCGAACGGTGTTTCCTATAGCCATGCTGCGCGTCAGCGAGGAGTGCGTTTTGCTCTAGATAACCAGATAACTGCATCTGGACTATGCGCTCCACTACTTTCATTATCGCCGGAAGCAGAGAAATAGGTCGTGTGTCGGACGGTTCGGCAGAAACCTTTCCCTTTGGGATTGGTGTGACGAGGGCGTGCTTCCACTCACGTGGGACATGGCCAGAAGCAAGACTCGAGTTCACAACATCTAGAAGCGCGTGACCTACTCCGTAAAAGAACTTCTGAAGCATAAGCACACTTATGCCGTCGAGACCAGTGGAGCTGGACGGTTTCATGGTCGCGATAGCGCCGTGCAAGTCATCCATGTCGACCGTGTGTACACAGAAGGCACTGGTCAGCACTCGGGGCAGTCGAACAGGCACGCGCGCTGTCGGAGCCGGCACACTTGCCGCTGTACTCGGTCCTATCGTAACATAGTAGTCATTCAGTGCGTTCATTTCTTTCATTGAATTCAGTTCATTCAAACCGTTCCTGATAGCCTTAAAATCAACACCATTGAGTTTGAAATGAAAAAAATAACCATAAAACATGCATCACACAGCCCTAGTAAAATTGGGTTCATGTGCTGACCCTTGGTGACCTGACCTGTGACCTGACCTGGTGTTATCGGTGACCTCTAACAGCAACATATGCACTAGGCAACTGACGCCCTATCGCTGATTTTCGATAAAATGCGTTTTATTCGATGTTATAGCGCATTCCCTATAGAAGACCCGTGACCGGCAAAACATTTTATCTTTGACCTAAGCTGTGACGTCATCGGTGACTCCGAGGTCAACGAAATTTAATTCCTTTGGAAAAATTTGACTGGGCTTTCGAACGCCGTTTGAATTTTGTGGATCCGTCTAGTATAGTGTCGGAGATACGAGGGGGGGGGGGCAAAAAAGAGCCCCCCCCCACCAGGTCGCGTTATAAACAGACCCCACCAGGGCGCGGGTTATTTCCTACATATAGAGCTCCCTAACATTTTTTTCATTAGGATCTTCGATTTACCATGTCTAAAAGTCAGTTTTTTTCTTCTCATTTTAAATGTTGCGAACCATTGTTTGGACAATCTGAAATAACCATTGTGAAAAACTCATGTTTGCGCGTCCTCTTATGTTATTGATTTGTATTTCGTTTGTAAGCTCGATTTTTGACGTTTTGTCAAGTATTTACCTTTAGGTATATGAAAACAATGTGGTGTGGTTGGGTCACTAAAATGTGCATATCCCAAAAAGCTTCGATTAACCCTCGCCCGCACCTGTCATTTTCCCATCCTAGAACGCACATGGGGGGGG